TTTCTCACCATTTATCCTGCTTTTCATACATCTACTCCCCAGTCCTGACCCACCTCCTTTCCCTCTAGTCTCAAATTTCCTTGTCACTATTTAAAGAGTTTCTCCTTAAATACAACATGCCTAAACAAATTCCTTGTCTTCCGACTAATTGCCTCTACATTCTTCTCTCTGTATGGTCAACAGCATAATTATTCTTCTCAGCATTGAAGTCTACAAATGGCGGGGGGACATTTTCATCATTATTCTTAGTTGACATGCCTGGTTATGTCTACCAAAATCTTTCCAATTTTTCATTCTTAGTGTTTTCCTTTTATGACAGTGACATGTTCCAACAGCCAATCATTACTCCTATAATAGGTTCCTCTCCAGTTTTTTTTATCATATCTAAACTATCCTGAAATTTAACCATGGCCCTGACTCATGTCAGTCCCAGCTCACAGCTTTGTAAACACCAAGGTCAACCAAACCAAAACAAATTCATAGGAAACCACGCTTTGGCTTGATTCATACTTACTATAATAAATATTTGAATTTCTTAAAAGCTATGCTACTTTTTAATAGATATATATATCCTAAAAGAATTAAAGTAAAGCACTTGTTTTGGGTCTCTGAAATGTCCTTGTTATATTCCCTATCTGCCCTATAGCACCTTACAGTAACATGGAAGATCACAAGATTTAACTAGATCCCTAGAAGTTTGGATAACAATATAACACTATTAGTTATACTGTCTCTTCATCTATAGAAACATTTAACAGAAAATTAATATGTGATTGCAGAAGAATCATTTGGCTTCCTTTTTTATTTGGTTTAAAAAACATTATCACTCATTTAAAATGGATTGCTATAACAGGGCTTATTTAAAGTGAGTTGAATGAGGTGAAGAGTCTAAAAAATCCCTCTTACTAAAAATGCAAAATTATATCCTAAGTCTCTAAATCCAGGCTGTGGCACAGACGATCAGTAAATTCTATAACCCTTACAATAACTAGACACATATTTCTAGCCATGAGAGGAGATAAATGGTCAACATTTTCAACCTTTCTCATCAAAGTGCAAAAGTCTAATGTTTACTATGGCAATTGTTAAGATTGGTAGTTTTAGAACATCCACATTATTTTGCAGAAATGGTATAATACATTAAAAAAAAGAAGAAGAAGAAGAAGAAGAAGTTGATGCAGATTTTAATTGAAAATATGCCATTTTAGAATTCAGGCAAAGTTACGCAAACGTGAGGAAAAAAACATAAGACATAGTTTGAAAGTCCTCAGGAAATACGTCATCCACTGCAGATTGGGTTTATCCGAATTTTAGAAAAACCTATTGAGATTAGTTTTTACCTAATACCGCATAAGATGATTACAGTTATTTGTGGCACTTTAATTCCTGCTAGAAACAAAATGATGATTTATAGAGATGTATCTACAAAAAAAAACCCAAACAACCCTGACATAAACCTCTTTCATCCATTCTCATTCCACAGAACTGCCTTCTAAGCTGTAGAATCATGCACTTGTCTTAATGAAATGAAGTCTAGACAAATATACAGCAGAGGTTTCCAGAAATAAATTGTACTAAACTATGTATTGCACTATAAAAACTGATTAAATTCCATGAAGAACAGAACTGGAACAAAAAATGTTTGGTTGCTTTGACACATCCAGATGACTATTATTACTCTCTTTCATGATTTCCCTTTTTTATGTTGGTATGATGCCTCTAAGATGCCCCATTATGAGACAATCCCAACAAATGAGGTATTTGGATATCTGGAGGTTTCATTTCCTCTTCCTTGCTGGGTTTTAAAAATGTTCACATCAGAACAACATGTGCTACAATTTGAGAGCACCTTTTAACATCATCTAGCTACAGATGACCCTACAAAAATCCTTACAAGCTCATAACAACAGCATAGCTCCTCACTGCACAGAGAAGAACTGGTAAGACCCTTTTGGTGAAAAAAATCTGGAATTAACTTAAAATTAATGTCAATATCTTCTTGTCAATAACACATTCTTCCCCTTGCATGCTCCTTCTGAAGAGTTGCTCCTCCTTCCTCCTCTTTGGGCTGGATTTTCAAAGCATTGTGTTTGGGCCACTGGAGTGTAAATGGGACTCTAGAGACTGCAGCTCTCATGTCACTTTGAAAAAGTGCCTCAGCAACTAACTCAGCTGTAACTGAACACAGTGACTCTAGCAAGAAGTCCAGCAACAAGAACGGCCCGAAGGGAGAAAGAAATGCTTTTGAACCCAAATTAAAATGTAAAAGGACAATCCTTCAATAATCCTTCTGCAAATCTCTCACAAAACTTTTTCTTACATAATTGTAGTGGTTTCTTGCATGTTTAGAATATACATATGAAAAATATTGAATCCTCTTTTTTCTTATGTTACTCTACTGTTCAGTAGTCAGCATTTAATATTTATGAAACACATTGAAGATAAAAATAGTCTTGCACACCCTGAGAACCCAAGTTCAAAGATGGCTGAATCACATCACACAAGCATAAATTTGAGAATAAAAGGAACTAGACAATGCTAGATTTGAAAACTGCCTCTATTAATAATTAGTTTTCTTTATCTGTTATTGTTATATTCAATTTAAGACATCCTACTGATTTTTAAAGCCTTTTGGAAGGTAACAAGAATTGAACACACACTTAAAGGACAGGGATTGTTACAACAGCTGAATTTATTTGTAAAGGAATCAAATTCTACTGAAGCTGTAGGACCTACAAAAACTGAATTTGGCACATAAAATTACGTTAAATTTATGCCTGGTAAGAATGTGCACTTCTGCATCCAAGTTAATGATTCTGTACAAAAAGCACCTTTTTCATTAGTAGTTACAGCCCAAATATTCAAAAGGTCAATAAATGCTGGATAAAAACAATGTTTGACAGCTGTAAATGAGATAGAGTTTTGGAAAGCAATGAACATTCAAACTCTGAAAATTAAGACTAATTAGGATTAGGCACAGAAAAATGTATGCTTTCAAGACCATTAGACACTCTGTAAATATAAAAGACAAAGGAAAAAATTAGCAGTACAGAACTTAAAAACAGACCAGAAGCTCTGCATTAGGTATTTCCTTGTGTAGTGGTCTGATTTATAGGCGAACAGAGAAACTATGACATGAAGCTAAAACAGATGTCATGGAAGTAGGTTTTTTTTAAATACTGATTATGCAAGACTCTCATTATTAACTATGTAAATAACATCATCTACCACACTTAAAATACTGGTGAGAGGTCATTCTTTAGTATTGTTCCAGAATTGAGACAAACCAAACAACAAACCAAATGTAAGATTGAGAGACTTTGAACACATCTTGCAATTCCCAAATCTCTGTTATAAAAGGAAGCATTTAAGAACAAGGAAAAGACATCCAAAGACCCACAAATTGAAATGCTATCTAACTTCTATAACACCTCAATATTCCTCAGTCTGGTATTGCGGCAATCAAAGGATGTAATTTCTTCTTTGGATTCAACCTTAATGTAGCTATAATCACTTTTTCATTTCTGACATATGTAATACATCAACACATATTGCAGTGTTCACACGCAAAGCACACGTTGTTAGAACACTTTGAAGGAATACTTCAAAGTAGTGCAGAAGTACATGTACAGTTAATGTCACTTCCATGACTGTGTATTTCTTCAGCACATACTTCTATATTCACAGACACCTTCCTAAAAATAACACAGAATGGTCCCATCTTTATTTTTCATTCTTTAGTTCAAATCTATTTACAACTATTTGGTAAATACCACTCAATTATGAATCTATTTTCTTTTATAAAGCATATACAGCAATTAAAATTAAGTAGGGTTTATAAAATAAAGCTAATAATTTTAAAGAAGCTGGGAAAAGTTACAATAGTGCTAGCAATAATTAATTCCAGTTGCAGGAAATGTTAGAGACTAGTAGCACACATTTTTCAGAAATTCCTGAAACTACTGCCGGACCTCCATCGTCTTCACAATAACAGTGCATTATTGATGTACTTCTACTTTCATGACATATAATCAAAATTTTTCCCTAACTGCTCCTGACTGTAGCTCTGCAAGGAGTACTGTTGAAACTCTGGCTTTACATGGCCATACTTTGAAGGCATGTGTGCTTCCACAAATATCATTTGTGTTAAGAAATGTGCCCTTCAGGCTAGTTCTGCACAAAATGTACAGGTTTGTTTGTGAAGGAATAAAACACCAAAGGCAATGCAATGTGAGCAAGAGGGCTGAGAAAGGTGGAACAAGGGTGATGCACAGTTGCTGCCACCACTTCCCATGACCGGCAGCTCAGGCATGGCACAAGGAACAACAGGGATGTTACAGCAACCAGGTACATTCATGACCTCAAAAATACAATATTATTATATTATTTTATCTGAAGCTCCAAAATGCCAAGCGCTTGATTTTAATATCATTTACAAGGTGCAATGGGAAAATTCAAGCAAATGGAGGAAAGACTGAGCGATACTCCAGCACACCTATTTGAATACTGCAACATCATACGAATGGGAACATCCTGCCAAAGTTTCAACTGTGTCCTGGAGCAATTGTCTTGACTCATTTTAGAGTTTCTTTGCTGACACTTTTCCCAAAAGCTTAATGCAAAATTAAATGCTACTTGGTGCTGGTGAAATCAATGAAACTTTAGCTATTTACCTGTGGAGATGGTCTCATCTTCCACTTTGTATAAATATCCTACTCTGGTTCAGTATCTTCCATTAAACAAAGGAAAGCAGCAAGGTTTGGGAATAACAATTCAATGCCTTATCTTGCATGATTTTTTTGTTACTCTTTCTGTCTTTATAAGTAAGAAAATACCTTTGAAATATCAGGACAATGAGTTTCCCCACAGAGAACCTGGAAGGATCATCTCAACATGTTGTTCATTGTAAACACAAATTAAACAGTGACTAGTAAGTTACTAGGTCTGACCTAGCTCTGGCCTCCAAGAGCATGCATCTAGTATTAAACATTAGTACCTACCTAGAAGTGCCTGAAATAAGCTGCTTTTAAAGATGCCCATCACCTTTCTTATAGCTTTCTTCAGTTGTTGCTCTTCTGGCTTCCGTAGTTTCTTACAATACTCTTCCAGCAGCACTAAAGCTCGGTCAGTATCTACAAACAAACAAGTACAAAAAAGTCTTCATTGGCTCTGTAAAGTATTTAAATTCTCAAATATTAACTACACATTTTGAACAGCATTGTTCACACATGTAAGGAACACTTACAACAAATGTTCATAGAATCATAAAATCACCAAGGTTGGAAAACACCTACAAGATAATTGAGTCCAACTATCAACCCTGCACCACCATGTTCCACACCAAACCATGTCCCCAAGAGCCACATCCACACGCCTTCTGAACACTTCCAGGGAGCATGATGTTGCTGCATCGTCATTAGCTGTATGCCTCAAGCCACATAGACAAAACTGCACATCTGAGATCTCCCTGCAAAGGGAAGATGATCTTTTGAATGCCATCTACAAGTGTTCAACTTTCATTTGTCCGAAACCAGCTGGAAGCTATGAGGTTTGGACCAAATTACTACTTGCAGAAGCTACAAAATTATAGACAATAACCATTATGGATACCCATGCAGGAAAACTGGCCTTAAAACATATTCAGAGAAGACATGAAAATGTTTGCTTGGCATCTGCAGCACTCAATTCTCTCTCCTCTGAATAACAAAAGTGTATCTGAAAGGCAGGTGTCCAAGAACATGATGGGTTTTTTTCTATTCCCTCAATACATAATATTGCTGTCTACCTCTTTGCTAAATGAGACTTTGACAGCAGACTTTCATCCATGTGCTGGCTCAAATGGAGCAATCCAGCCTTTCTGTAAGAGCCCAGAGAAACAGAGCTCTGTTTCTGCTGCTATTACCTCTGTGTAGTCACTTGCCAAGAGCATGAGTGACATATAAAATTATATGAAATCCAAACATCACCATCTTACTTATATGTGCACACACATATATAAAAATATATAGAATCATAGAATCATTACACTTGGAAAAGACTTCCAAGATTATCGAGTCCAACCTTATACACATACATAGGAAGATTAGCGAGCATTTTATAGCAGTGTAGATATTTATATAATGAAAGAGCTCACAATTTTCTGCTTCAATCCCACCTTGAGGGTTAGGCAATTGTTTTGTTTTCACCTAAAGCCAGCAGCGCTATTAGGACCACTTATAACCCACAGAGAGAGAGAGATCAGCTCTTTTAAAGGACAGGTCACAGTACCTGGGTTGGGCTCCCATCACAGATCATCCAAACCCAAAGTTGTGGATCCAGCTGGGATATGGTTAGGGTACTCCCCACAAATGGTTGGGTATAAAGAACTAATTCGGCATGTGAGCTCAGCTTCTTTTGCCGTGAAAACCCATTCACATTGTGAAAACCCCAATCACATCGTATCTTTGACCTCATGACTGTGCCTGACTCACCTGTGACACCTGTACTTTCGTTGATACACTGAAAATTCTGGCTGCCCTCAACAGAATAATTAGTCACTAACTTAAATCATGGCTTGGAATCAGTCATTCACCTTCCCCCAAGAACAGACAGGCATACGTAATGAATACCAGATTATTTATACTACAGTGAAGCAGCAGAGTGGTGGAAAACCATTGCAAAGTATCCAATAATGAGAACACTTCTTAGAAGTGGACTATCTGAGAAATTAGGAAAATGGGATTTGAAGGCCTGTTCCACACCGGAGATACCAATTCCTCTTTCTCAGTGACTTGGTGAAGCATGCTGACATCCCCTTCTTCATTAAGCATTCCTTACCTAAAGTGTATTGTTCCTATCTAAAAAAAACAGCTACAAAAAAGTAGTATGCTTTAGGGGTATGAGCAGAGTTTTTATTTTCACTGAAATCATTATTTTTCAATTCCTCAAGATGAAAAAAGTCTGCTTTTGGTTGACCCCAAAAGAGTCCTAAACTCTACAAACTGAACAACCAGCAACAGAGCACAGCTCTAGTGTTAAATCTAAATCCCAGATAAATCCCAGATCAAGTAATGATCTTCTTGCCTCATTTTCCTCTCAGGCTTTAATAGGATACATTAATTTTTACTCCATTCCTAAGCTCCAGCATCAAGTTGCAGCCTTTTCCCGCACAATCTCCCTCGTCAGCAGTCTATCTAGTTTTCCAAATAATTTGTGATGGGTTGCATGTGCTAGGAGATCCAGTCAGGATCCCCCAACTGCCCTGCTTCTGCTGGAAGCTATCACTGATGTTCTGGTATCAAGAGGAATCACATCTTGACCAAAAGTATTTAGCATGTTGGGGAGAGGAGCTGTGTAACCACTGCTACTGGAGCACTCCTGAAAAGCCAAGGTGTTTATGGAGACTATTCAAATCTCCAGTCAATTTGGCACCAGATTAGGCTTTCAAAAAAGCAACTTTCAGCCTTCTTGATGAACTTTCCTGATTATAAATTACTCAGAACTAGATCTTCATATTTGACAGTATTTAGCATGCTGGGGCATAATCCTATTCAGCACCAGCACACCACATTTATACCTCTGCACAACAGAGAGCAATACAAAATAATCTAATGAAACAGCATGTCTGAAGAATGCTAAATACTCTCCCCAAGATAATAACCATTGTCAACTCCCAGTTATACCCAAAGCAGATGAGGGCATCCAGTACTTTTTCTTTTGGGTCTGACAGCTACAAAACCTAAAATACTGTTTGGCTTCAAGAATGGACTGCCTGGACTGCAGCACAATAGTCAAATAAGAACCATATTCCCTGCCACCCAAATTAAATGGAAGTTTCTTAATCTGAATTCCCACATATTCTTTTCATCAAGAAGAATGGGAGATTGGTGGCTTTCAAGAGAGATTGGATCACTGTATGTATGGGATTACAATATCCAATGAAGCACACAGTTAATTTTTAGCAGCCAAAATAAGTCCTGTACCTTACAGTTGGAGTATATCATAAAGGAACCAAAAAATCTTTGTTCTATGATACACTATTCTTCAGTGTTGATACCAAAACCAAATTCAAGTAAGAACATAAATCCACTGAACACACGATTTAATATCCCGAGTGGTGGGGCTCTGTGTGGATACTGAGTAGGTCCTTTGTCTGTGAACAAAAGACCACTGAAAAGTCAATATCAGCTGTGCCCCATGAGATGTGCTGAACAAAGTTTTAGGGCTTTTTTACTGCTTATTATGACACTAATTTTTAAGTGATCCTACTGACTTTGAAAGATGATTTTGTCAAGAACCATTCAGAGGATACAGTCCTACCAAAACTCACACATATTCTAGACAGTAAATGCATTATTATTTAAATAAATCATACTCAAAATATCTTAATATTATTATAAGAAAGATTTCTTTAGGAATAAAACAGCTTTTATGGTCCTACAGTATCTTGTCCAAGAGGTTATCAGTTAACCCAAACTAACTAATAATTCTGTAAATTTTATTGCTTTATCGCTCTATAATTTTTTAACCAGTTCAGGAATGTTTGTGGTTTATGTTACTGATCAGGGAATGGTTAATTGCCACAATACGGCAAATCAGAAACATGTAACACAAACAAAACTGTAGAGCAGTAACTTTGCCTATTGGATTTCTTTGGAAAACTTTTCTTCCTCTCTTAATCTAAAGTTTTACCACACAAGAAATTACTTAATTTTTCTTCTATAGAATGAGTGTCTGCTTAATATAATGTATTTATTTATGTAAGAATCAAAAAAAGGTAGATCCTTTCCTTGGAGTTACTATTCTAGAAGGGGACATTAGAGAATACTCAACATTTTATAGTCTCCACACTGTATAGACACAAACTTTCTGTGATATCAATTTTTAAAGTTCCATAAGTAAACATTTATGCTATAGAACAAAAAAAACTGTTGAGGCAATGTTTATACATCTGATGAAACAAATACAAAAACTGTATAGAAAATCCATTCTTAATACAACCCAAGTTATATTTTAACCAAATGTAGCTTTCAGTATATCTTACAGACAAAAAGTTTTCCAGGGATACTGTCATCAGCAAATGAAGCCATACATACAAGCCTATACAGAGTAAGGTGCACTATATATCAGGAAAAATTAAATTATCACCAATTAAAAATTGTTTCTTAAAGCATTGCTCTTAAAATGTTAAGTTCACATAAGAAAGACTAAATTTGATAATCACACATATTTAAATTAATTCTGCAAATAATTTCCTATCTACTTTAATAAAATGATGTCAAAATCAATTCTATCTACTTCTCAGGGTCCATATCCAAGATCTGAAAGCCCTTGCAATACTAACCAGTACCTTTAAGCAGAAAGATTCCCTTCCTCTGCCGGTTTGTTTCTGGGTCTTTGCCATGCTCTCATGTTTTGCAAGCACATTTTAGAATCACTGGAACTCCATATAGGCAAGGAGACAAAAAAAATTGAGCTTCACTTTTTTCAGTAAGAGTGTAACAGGTGAGCACTTATTTTTTGATGAAGGTGTTTAGATGGCTGGAAATCTTACCGGATTTATGTATACAGAACCTGAGTTAAAGGCTTACATTGTGCAGGTGCTTGTGAGGACACCCATACAACTGCCAAGTAAGGAAAAGCATGCAAATGATGTGAAATCAAAATGTCAGTATTTGAAGCACACTTTTTACACTGGTCTAAAAAACTCCACAGCTGCAGCACTACAGAGGAACAAGTTCTGTGGTGCACTTTGAGTTAGTTACCTGTACATTAGTTTGACTGCAGACCCAGTGCTCAACTAGTTACTTAAGGAAAACATAAACTCCTCTGGAGCTGCACTTGCTTGAAGGTAGCAGGATTGCAGGTCACTTATGTGCTATTTGAGTTCCTCTAACTATACTCACTACAGCATTTACAGTATACCCCTGGTACAGCTGAAACACTGCAGCTCTGCTGGTGTGGAGACTGTGTTGATTAAAAAATCTTTGATATGTACTGTGCCTTCGTATGGGACTGAGGATGACAAAACACATGGCAGGTCACACAGCATGCCATCTATGGGAACAGTTATAGGACACAGGAAACAGTTTTCCTAAATATCTCCCAGATGTTATTCAAACCGTTTATCCTTCAGATGAACTAAAGATATCAT